GGAAGAACTTTCTGTATGTATTCAACTATATATGGATGGTACATATACATGAAACTACTACATAATTACATGCCACATCATCTCCACCTCTAACACTCCCACTCACGATCAGGGAGCTTATCCAAGCTTGAATTTAGGCTTGAATCCTGCTTAGCTAATCTGAGATGATGAGCATGGAGAGCTAATGAGAAAAACATACAAAAAACTCATTAATCAACTACTTAAAACTTAGTTCTTAATCTTGGACTTTTGCTCCTTTAATCTTACCACTAGCATGTGGTCTTGGCTGTGAACTGCTAGGTTCCCACCTCTACTACTACTAGGCACTTAAATCTCTATAAATATCCTTCCTAGTTGTTGAAAATTCCTGCAAAGAATTGTTATGCAATGTTCTTGAATCTTGCTTATCCAATTTTTTATATGGGTTGTTAAAATCTCTCAATCTCCCACTAGCTTTATGCTCTACTTGCTACTAATTGCTCCTCAGCCTGGTGCCTTGATGCAACACCTTAAGCATCTAGAAGCATTGCAAAAAAGATTGCAATCAGGAGGCTCATCTTCCTCCTTGTCACTAGCCTCCTGGTTGGCAAGTGCCATGCCCAAGATCAAAGAGCCAATTGCTTTGATAACATGTTAGCAGTGGAGAGACGTGCACAGGAGGAAGAACTTTATGTGTGTATTCAATTGTATATGGATGGTACATATACATGAAACTACTGCCACATAAGCATAACTACATGCCACATCATCTCTACCTCTAACATCCTCCTATGTCTCTGGTTAGTGCTTCCAACCTTCTGTAGCCTCTGATCTATGCACAGCCTCTGATCCACACCTCTAGCACCTTTGCGAGTCTAGATCACTCACACCCAATGCAATAGTGTGTGCTTTTGGTCCACCATACCTTAGTGTCCAGCCTTTCATACCGGAAGTCTCCCTTTTGGACTCCTTTGAATATTTAGGTCTCCCTCTCATCCTCTAGTTGCTCCACTGCTCCCTCTCAAGGTGCTCTACCTCACATTAAGACCCTGGATCATGCCACTATGATCCACACCAATTGAAGCAAAAACAAGGATCAAGGAAAAGAAAATGACTAGTGCTAAATGGCAACATAGACTCCTTGCAACATCGCTCCATCATCTCAGCATAGTAGCCCTCATTATGCTCTCCTTTGGCCAGCACCTGGATCCTGCCCAATCACAATGCTTCTAGCCAGTGCCTGGCATTGCCTTAATTTAGATAGCATGCCTCCATCTAGCACCCATGCATGTACTGCCTTATGGTGCCTTGTGCAGTGGCTTTGCCCAGCACCTCTAGACAACACGTCTAGCACTGTCTAGCGCCTCTACTGGGAGCATCTAGAGCACAGCTTGTGCTCCACACCACACACAACACACAGCTTGCTCCCTGGTATTGTCTCCTTTGGCAACACCTCTTTGTCTTAGCACCCATCGCCTCTGCCGCTCTAGCGCAGCAAACTCCCTCTTTAGCCATAATCTTGTGACTCACTTTTTTTGTCAGCCTCCTTGCACCATCCTTCTAAATCTCATCCTCCTCCTCACCAGCCTCCTCGCTAGTGAGAGCCATCATTCCAAGATTGAGATCCACTATCATGAAAAGTGACAATGCATTGGCAAAGGATATATCTTTAATATATATACAACCATCTAGCCTACAGAATCTGGAAGGTGGCAAGACATGTGCCACCTAGATCTCATGAGGAGAAAAATGTATCACTAAAAAATGAATTAGAAAACAACCACATCCACCTCTAGTGGTACTGCCGTGTCCAAAACCTCTACCATCCCTAGAACTTGTGTGTGGAGGTAGGACCAGATCAGATGACGCACTATCCATGGTTCTGTGCACGCTGTGTGCAGTTCACTTGATTAGCCGAAGCAGGAGTGGATGAGGGAGTCGCTGGTGGCTCCTAGTTTCAGAGAGACTGCAAGGTGGTGTAGCAAAATCACCACGACCATTATCACATCACTTCCTCGGCGAGTGTGCAAAATCCAGGCATCTGTGTGTCCCAAATTGAGCCACGAATCAGGTTCGCTGTGAATAAAATGGAGAGGCAGCATGAGGAACTCTATTTAGCAGCCGAGCATCCTTGTAGTGAGCAAACAGTCTTTCCATGAGCGGAAGTGGCCCAACAGCCACTTTTTCGGCCAATTCAATCATCATCTTCCTTCTTCTCAGAAAGATTAGATGGTAGCGTATCGCATTCCGGATCACCAAAGAAGTGTCTCATGTTTGCCACCATGTAGTAGATTGCGGCAACTCCATGACTAAAGCTGTTCTGACATAAGTAGACTGGTCCCGATATAAAAAGGCGTGGTGTTGCATTGCGTACCAAACACACTAAGATTTATGATAGGCACAGAAAGATCACCAGCGATGATCTGTGTGTCGCCATCACATCGTTGCATGATTTCCTCAAAGGAGAGTTCAGCCACATTTGACGTGCCTTTAAGATTTCCAAACATGAACCACATCTGTTTAGTAATCTGAGCTCTGAGTAAGCTTGTGGTGACAATATAGATTGTAGATCTTATTCACTAGCATGAATTTGGTCGATTGAGGTGGGACAAACAGAAAGTTTGGATACTTCCTGAACCCGATGCTGTAGGGCTAGGCTCGACATTCTGAGCGTTGTAATTCTCCTGGAATTGCGATAGCATTTCAGCCTCCTCTGTGGTAATATCACCCATGGCCGTGGATGAGCTTGGTTAATATAATGTGTTTGGATGCTTGGTCGTGTGGCCAAGACAGAGGACTGGTCCCCTCTCGATGGACATCCTGGAAGTGCCTCACAGCAGTCGTCTTGCGATGCCTTTTCTGAACATCACGCCGCACGGCAATGAGAAGCAACATGGGTTGCACAAAGGTAGTTGGTGCGACCATCTCATTTGAATAACAAGATTGGTGTTCGGTCTCCCCATCCTCCGTCTCGTTTGTAGAGGAAGTTTGAATTTGTCCGACCTCGGAAATCGGAGGTGCGTGATTAGGACGTCACTGCCGCTCGCGATAACGTGAAGGAAAAAAGAAGAGTTTAACTTGGAATCAGCCAGATAAACTTGGACACTGTCTAAGAAGACTTAGTGCATAGCTTAAATGATAGCATCACCCATGGTGAGCTTCCAGATTTTGCTGAATGCAATCGAACTGATCAAACCAGCCATGCTCTGTGCAGGGAATCGGTAATAGAACAAGAACGACAAGTAAAACTATGCAACTTGGAAGCTGAGAATCATAACAACTCCCCAGGGCCTAGGTCCCACGAGTGACAAGGGGGTGCAAACGCGCTAGTCATCGACTCAGTTTATCATCGCATTGAGCTCGTACCCCATCCATCTCGCGTTCCTCTTGTCGATGCTCGCCATCCTCCATGTTATTACCTGGCACCATCAAGAGAAAACGTCGCGTTAGCAAACCGATTCGCTGGGAAGCTTGCGACCCTTTGTTGTCGGTGCCGTCACTACGAAGGAGCTAGATCAGCGTGAATGGTGGGATCAACTCAGCAGGGAGATAAAGTAGGGTAAAAATCCAAAACAAGAAGAGAGAGACGATTGACATTCACCTCAGAAGTTTCCATTCCTCCGGCGCATTGCTCACTCTCGAGAAGAAATTGTTGTCTCCCAGTCCCACATTTTCCTCTGCATTTCTTATACTTCCAAGATTTTTAATGTCACTTATTTTTTAAAAAACTTTGATTTATTTTAAGGTATTTACTAATATATATTGAATCATTTTTGGATGTTTTGTGTGCGTTACTATCCAATGATTAGCTGTATTTTTTTTTGTAATCGCTCCACAGCGTTCCAACGCTCTTTCCGGTCAAGTCCTGGAAGTAGCTCTCGCTCCACCCAGTTGCAAGCTTGGCATTGAGCTTGGCCACAAAGCCTGCGCTTAGACTGTTGACATAGTCGAGAAACCTGGCAGTGACATCGTACCCCTGATCCCACCGATTCCCCGCGCCGGGCTTCACCCAATGCGACGGTGCCAGATTCGCCTTGAGCCTCACAAAATCGGCAATCCCCTCGATCAATCCCCCGGGGGCGCTGCCTCTCCCGTTCCACTGCCACACATGAGTCATCTCGTGGAACATCACGCCCCGGATCTCTCTCGCAACATCGCCGCTGTAATTCCCAACATATGACGCGCTGAGATGGATCTGATCGTTACTGGTGTACGCGACGCCGCCGATATCGTCGACCGTGAAGGTGATCCTGGAGACGCTCTTCTTGGGCGTGGATGGATTGGAGTAGTCGAAGGTGGACTGGACGAAGGTGATGGCGTTGGAGAGGACGGTGAAGGCTCCCTGGGCGCCCACCACGGAGTCGAAGCGCCTACCGCCGGCGGTTCCTTGGGCGTTGTTTGCGAAGACGAGAGTGATCTGGGCGTGGGCGGAGGTGGCACACAGCGAGAGGATCAAAAGAAATCCAGCAAGTTCCATTGAAATGCTTGTGAAATTATGCGAGAAAGAGTTTGTTATATAGGTCGATGATAGAAGAGACCAAGTGAAACACAAACACTGCAAGTCAGCCAATCTCTATAAACAATTTTTTTGGTGCTAACTTAGCTCGTAAGGAGAAGAGCACGAAATATTTTTCTAAGTTTAAACGCGGATTTGGAGCATAAGATTTGACTGCCAGTGGTCTCGTTTGACTGGACGATAAAGTCAAAGTCAAGGTGATTTTTCTCATTTGGTGGACATGGAATGGACTCGCCACCTGTGAAAGGAAAAGCTTGGCGAACTATTTCCAGCGTCGTCTACGCCGAGAACAAAGAGCTACAATGCAATCCTCCCAGAGTCTAAAATACACTGCGCAGTGAATCCAAAAGGAACGACCCAAAAAATCTCTACAGTGTGGGTGAATACAGGTGTTTGTACGCTACCGAGAATGACGTACACCGTGTACAGCGTACAAGACCACCGCGATGACATGAGCATACGGCTATGGCGGACAGAAAGCGGGAGTTTTGGGCAGTAAAAATTGGAATGAGACGCGAGAGAAAGTCATGGGAGCACATTATTGTACCCAGAGATTATGCACCCAATCGATCCACAGTTTGATCTTCCTTTTTTTACGAATTTTACCCAGGAATTCCCTTGCGAGTGAGTGGTTTCTTTAGTGATTGTTTAGAGGAGAAACAACACGGTCGGGCAATCATCCTCTTAAAGGAAATGCCGCGAGAGGTAGCTCTGGGCTCTCATAATTTATGAAGGCTGGGTTTTAGGGCGCCACAAGGCGGCTCTCTTTCATTCCCGGGGAGAGGAGGAGCGCCAATCCAGCGCCCGCTAGGCTTCCCACAAGCGCGCGATCCGGGAGAATGCGTGGGGGATTGGCGGCGCGCATTTAGGTAGATCCAGGGATGGATCGCGCGCGCGGACAGGGTTTTAGCTAGATAGTAGCGCAGCGTGAGAGAATTTTGGTCTTTTTTGTAGCGAGCGAGCAAGAGCAAGAGCAAGAGCAAAATGGGGAATGGACTGGCGAGGATGGTGTCGGGCAAAGGGAAGAAGAACTCGTCCTCTTCTTCCTCGGCCAAGAAGGACAAGGCGGCTCGGAAGGCGGCGCAGAAGAAGCAAAAGGCGCTCGAGGAGGAGCTGATCGAGCGCCAGGTGCTGGCGTTTGCGCTGCAGCAGCAGCAGAAATCCATCCGGCTGGAGCGCGCCGCGTCGCAGCGCAACAATCCCAACTTGTTCCCGGAGAGGCTCCCGCGGAGCGCCAGCACCAGGCCGCGCTCCATCTCGGATCCGGTCGTGCCGCCACACCAGCTCGTCAATGGGATCAAGGTAAGTTCCTAGTTGGAGTTCTCGAGTAGTTCCTAGTTGTTTGTAGTTCTCTAGCCAGCAGTTCTATAGTTTTATGGAGCGAGTGTTTTGATGATCGAGGTCTGTTTTTCTTTGTTGTTGTCTTTCTTCCAGCCAGGTCTCCCTGACAATCTCGAGAGCAAGCACTTTGTGCTGGTTCACGGAGCCGGGAATGGAGCGTGGTGCTGGTACAAATCCATCGCGTTGCTGGAGGAGTCTGGCTTCACTGCCTCAACCGTGGATCTCACTGGCTCCGGCATCGATCACACCGATCCAAACACAATCTCGACGCTCTCACAGTACGTAAAGCCGCTGCTCTCGCTCCTGGAAAAGCTTCCAGACAATGAGAAGGTACACCCCGTTAAAAACTTCAATCGCTTCCTCGTCCGTGAGCATACTATCTGACAGATACTCTTTTTTTTTCCTCCGCTTTTTCGCTCTCTTTTCTTGCGCTTTCAGGTGATACTCGTTGGCCACGACTTTGGTGGCGCTTGCATCTCCTACGCCATGGAAGCTTTCCCCACCAAAATCTGCAAGGCTGTTTTCGTCTCTGCGGCAATGGTGGCGAACGGGCAGAGGGCGTCCGACATCTTTGCTCCAGAGGTAAACTCCATATAAAACTTGTGATCACCACAAACATGATTTCGATTGTGTTGTGATTGCAGTTAATCACTGCAGACGATCTTCTACCCAAGGCTCAACAGTTTGTATACGCGAACGGTAGCTCGTCTGTTCCCACGGCTCTCGAGTTTGACAAAAGCCTGATCAAGGATTTGTTTTTCAACCAAAGCCCCGCAAAGGTACGTACTTTCTCGTGGTTTTTAGTAGCCAGCACGGTGACTGAAAAAGAAGCTTTTCTTTTTTGCTTTGTTTAACAGGACGTAGCACTGGCGACCGTTTCTCTGAGGCCCGTGCCATTTGCTCCAACCCTGGAGAGGCTGTGCCTAACACAGGAAAGATATGGTAGCGTGCGGAGATTTTTCATCCAGACAACCGACGATTGCGCACTAACGCCGGCCCTCCAAGAGAGACTGATAAGCAGCAACCCCCCCGAGAAGGTATTTCTTCTCAAAGGCAGCGATCACTCCCCATTCTTCTCCAAGCCACAGTCACTCCACAAACTTTTACTCGAGATTGCACAGATAGAGCCACTCAAACCATCGTCCCCTTCACCTCCTCTCCCTCCTCCCCCTCCCTCGTTACAGGACACAGAAGAGCAACAACAGCGTTGAAAACAGAAATATCTACATATAGTTGTATATGATCGACTGTACAACGAGTTTCTATCATCAACCGAGAGACAAATGTTTTGGAAGTGAAGGTATGACCTTCCTTCGAGCTTTTTTTACTAATCGGCAGTGAGTGGCTTTATAGAAGTTTGCTGTTCTTGCGGCGAAGTCAATACATCAAAGCGTCTAACCAGTGAGTCTCTTTCGAACAGTGACACTATAAAGCTTTGCGGTTCTCATGGACAATATCACAACGGCTGCAAACAAGCACACTCCAGCCATGACGAAGAAGGTTGCTCTGTAGCAATGCGATCGATGGCAAAGAAGCTCGTCATCTCTCGATCCAAGCTTACTCTCGCGATCGTATAAAACTCCGGCCACACGGACGACAAAACATACGTTCCCAGCGCCTTGGCGACGTAAGTTACGTTTTGGAGCTGGAAGCTGAGCCCGAAGATCTCCGCTATCATGGTCTAGACCACTGCCCACCGATTGACAGCCCGATCAAAACCGAGCCGTAGAAGAGCGCTCCGGGAAGTCCAAGAGCGATTATCAAGCTCCCAAGGGAGTGAAGCAAGAGAACCAGGCACAGGAAGAAGGGCCTTGAGACGCCATAGCTGGCGAGGCACGTATCCGAGATGAAGCTGCAGCCAACGCCACGTATGAAGTCCCAGATACTGAGCAGCGCGATGAAAGTGTTTGTTCCGGCCTGGGAGTACCCCAGGGACGATCCAATCTGGCCGAAATTGTTGGTCACCGTGAGCACAGCGCCAATGCCACACGTTGACGCTGCAAAAATGAGAAGCACGTCGATGCTACAGAGCGCCTGGAGGATTGTGAAATCGTCCCCTCGCTTGACTGGCAGTCCTTTGGAGAAGATCGAGCTGATAGGTGAAGCAGCGGCGTTTGCTCCATGATCCAGAGGATCTACATTGACCACGTTCTTACCATCTTGATGATCTACCTGAGGGATTTGTATTGCCGGGAAGGAGAGGATGAGCAGCATGATGAAAAGAAGGCCTTGATGATCCAAGATTCTAGGCGCACGAAATGCTGGAGGATGACAATCGCCATGAGATATCCAGCCAGGATCAAAGTTACCTACAAGAAGACGAAGAGCGTTCTCGCCGATGTCGAGAGATCGAATGACAAACGCGAAGAGTAGGCACAAGAGCGATGGAAACCGGGCCAGAAAGAGGAAGAGGATGAAGGAATCATTGCTGCGAGAGAAGATCGTAACGCTCAATAAGAACCATGCCCTGGTTCTTGGGGAAATTCTTGGCACAGGACACAAGAACAGCTGTGGTGGTGAAGCCTGCCGACGCGCCGATCATAAAGAGATAGAAGCACAGCTCCCAGATATGGGGGTGCGCGATTCTCTCCGTTGTAGCCAGCCATATCATGGAGTATCCAGCAAAGTTTAGCGCGAATCCAAGGAGGAGCAAGGGCCCGGTGAGATCATAGACGAGGCCGGAGAGAATGGCGACGCTAGTGCCAACATCTTTGAAGAAGCTTATGGTGTTAATATTTCTTTTGATTGTAGTCGAGGGACAGCTTGAGATGCTGCGAGAAGAGGCTGAAATTGTTGAGTGATCCTCCGGAGGAGATCATGAGGAAGATCGACTTTTGTAGAGGTGTTTGATCATGATCCTGGGAAGCTACAGTTTGGGCTGAAAAACCGCTGAAACAAGTGGAGCGCGTTCGAGAAAAGAAAAGTATGGATGAAATTCAAGCACAGGTTGTCCGGAGGAAGCTCACCTCCAACTATGTTTCAAAGCATGACTGCTGTCAGCGTTGTCTAAAGGACTCGGGCTGGATTCAAGCTGCCTGGCGAAATTGTTTGGAGACTCTGAGATGATTTTGCAATTGAATTATTATCTGCCAGATTGGCGGACTCCAGGCCAGAAAGGGCAATCTTTGGTACGACTTAGAAGCCTATAAAAAATGCGTTCATCGTGAAAATTGGAGAAGTAAGTTGAATAACCACTTTTATAGTACTTTGATTGATTGAATCATGGTTCTATTCTCTTCCATCCAGATCTTGAACAATGGAAAATACAAGAGTTTTGAGCACCGGGTCCTTGTCCAGCCTGATCACCATCACGACATTTTGCAATCCATCACTGGATGCTGTGGTAGGGCCTCTGCCAGAACTTAACAACGAGAAAAATCCACCAATCTACAAGTCAACCTTGTATGACGAGCACATCACAAATGTCTACTGGATGGCAAACATTCTGGAAAACTTCAGGTTTACAATACACGAGATCTCTCAAATTTGAATTTATAGTAATAATAGTTAAATATTAATGTCAAACCATATTATCATATTGTCTTCCAATGTTTTCATGATTGCATGGCCTACTGAAGGATTCAGAAAGATTCTCACAGCACAATATGGCAGCTCCAGCAAGATCCCGTGGTGCAATGGATCTGTGGAAGAACTTGGACGCTGTCTCAAGGCATGTGCCAGGAGCAAAGATCTCGACGAAGGCAGGAGGCTCCACAGCTCCATTCTTGCTTCCACTCTCCGCCATTGCAAGTTCCTGGCGGATCATCTGGTGCTCATGTATGGCGCTTGCGGGGAACTGCAGCAGGCCTTGGAGATCTTCGCCTCTATCCCGAACCCTGACACCAGATCATGCAACATTATGCTCAATGTCTACAACCAAAACGGGCGACTGAAAGAAGCCAAGCTTTTGTTCGATCGAGCCCCCATGCCTGATACAGTTTCCTGGAACTCCATGATTACTGCATATGCCCAGAACGGATATTTTGAAGACGCTCGATTGATGTTCGATGGCATGCGCGGGCGCGATCTAATCACCTGGAACTTGATGATAACGGCATTTGTACGGTACCTTCAATTTGATCTGGCTAGAAAGTTCTTTGACAGGATGCCTAAGCGGAACGAGGTAGCATGGAACTGCCTGATTTCCACATTTGCCGAAGCACCGGGTCTTCGTCTGGAGGATTCCAAAGCCCTGTTTGACGTTATGCCGTCACAGAATTCTTTGTCCTGGACAAGGATATTCAATGCGTATGCCCAAGCCGGGCATATCCTGGGCGCCAGTGCCGTGTTTGAGAGGATGCCACTTCACGATGCCGTGTCGTCAACGGCCATGATCACTGCGTTTGCGCAAAATGGAATGGATGCGCAGGCAAGGAGGATATTTCTTGCAATGGAGGAAAGGGATTTGATCGCTTGCAATGTGATGATTTTACTGTACGCCCGGGCGGGGCATCTTGATCAGGCAAAAGAGATGTTTGATTCAACGCAAGGCAAAGCAGCGGGTACCTGGAATGCTCTAGCAAAATCATTTCTACAGAATGGTAAGATTGACATGACAAGGATGATGTTTGATAAAATGCCATGCAGAAGCTTAGTGTCGTGGAATATTGCAGTGTCAGCCTATGCTCAAAGCGGGTGTGTTGATCGCGCAAAGTTTATGTTTGATCAAATGCCTGAAAGAAACGTGATCTCCTGGACTGCTTTGATGTCATCTGGCGCACAGAACAGCTCCATTAATCTTGTGAAGATCATGTTCCAGAAAATGCCGTCCTGCAATGTCGTCTCCTGGAATGCCGTTGTTGCAGCAAATGCCCAACTTGGATACGTTGAAGAAATGAAGACGTGCTTCGATGCTATGCCCGAAAGGGATCCATTTTCGTGGAACTCGTTACTTTCCGGGTTTTCTCAAGCGGGGCGTCTCGCTCAAGCCTTGCAGGTCCTGGAAAGGATGCCAAAACACAGTGTCATCTCATGGAATGTAGAGCTCGTGGCATTTGGGACGAATGGCTGCTTGGAGCAGTGCCAAACTAGATTCAAATCTATGCCTGAGAGAACCCTAGTGTCTTGGAACACCATGATCGCAGTCTACTGCCAATTCTCCTGCTTGGATGAGGCCAGGCTCGCATTCGACAGAATGCCGCAGAGGCACGTTGTGTCATGGAGCACAGTGATCACGGGGCTCTCTCACTACGGCAGAGTGAGCGAGGCCAGGGAACTATTTGCATCCATGCCCTCTCGCGATGTCACAGCATGGAACATTATGACCTCGGCCTACGAGCAAAACGGCTTCTTTCAGGAAGCTCTCACAACTTTCCATGAAATGCCTGTTCGGGACCTCGTGTCGTGGAATGCCATGATCAAGGCTCATGCGCCAGCAGGGAAAGCCCTCTTTCTCTTCCGGATGATGAACTTGGTAGGGGTTGCGCCGGACAGGATCGCCTTTGCGACCATTCTGGCCTGGTGCAGCCATTCCGGGCTTGTCAATGAGGCGTTGACACAGTTTGTGTCAATGCGCGCTGACTTTGGGTTGACTCCCACGCGGGAGCACTACTGCTGCGTTGTTGACATTCTGGCGAGGTCTGGGCAGCTTGATAGTGCCGAAGAGGTGACAGACAAGATGCCGTTTGCCGCTCATGGTGCTACATGGGGGAGCTTGCTAGCAGCGTCAACTTTCTACGAGAACGACGATCTGGCAGCTCGGGCAGCTGAGAAAATTGTGGAGTTTAGGCCTGAATGTGGCTCTCCATATGTGTTGGTTGCCAATCTTCACGCTGCTGGCAAAAGACAAGACTATATTTAACACCATTTGTAAATTTGTATACTCAAAATGGAAGTAGAGGTGCGTGGCTGATAATCCGATTTGCAGCAGGCATTGCAATCCTGATGTTGCTGGTGTTGGAAGTCAACGCTGATAGATCTCCTTCAAACTCGTTGTGGGAGAGATCCAAGTGAACCAGCCGGTGGAGCTGGCCGAAATCCAGTTTTCGAAGCTTGTTCCTTGCCACCATGAGAATGGAGAGGCTCGAAGACTTGCCCAGAGAAGCTGGAAGGCTGCCACCCAGAAGATTTTCTGACAAGTCCAAATAGTAGAGCTGCCTAGGCTAGGAGATATTTCTCCTGGCATCCGTAGCGAGCTTGACTTTCCGAGTACGTGTACTCTGCTAATTCTCTTAAATCATCTAGTATTTTTCCCTCCCATTTCAATTGGAAATCAGCGCCTGCTACAATTGATTGCTCGTGCTCCTCTCTTGTCGAGGTATATCAATTCAATCTAATAGATTTCCCTTGCAGACGTCTGCAATTCACTGCCGTGAATATAGAAATGCAATTATTATTCTATAATTAAAAGGTATAATTATGAACAAGAGCAATGTAAGCTGTTTGTGAGCCCGGCTCCAGCTCCAAGAGCCGCTTAACAGCTCGGTTCCCAATCTCAACTTTGCCGTGGCTTCTGCAAGCCGCCAGCACGGCCCTCCACACCACGGCATCGCTCTCCACTGGAGAGCTTCCCACGAAACGTACCATCTCCTCAAACTTCCCGGCTCGCCCGAGAAGATCGACCATGCACACGTAGTGCTTCGCAGCGGGGGCGATCCCATAGTCGCTCCTCATCGACACAAAGCTGGAGTGAGCGTCCTCCAAGAGCCCGGCGTGGCTACACGCGGAGAGGACGCTGACGAAGGTGATGGAGTTTGGCATGGTGCCGGATCCCATTTGCATCACTCGGAAAAGCGTGAGAGCTCGCTCCGCGTGGCCGTGGCGAGCGTAGGCTCCCACCATTGCATTCCAGGTTATCACGTCTTCTCTTCGCAGCTGGAGGAACACCGCGTACGCGGCGTCCAGGCTCCCGCATTTGCTGTAGAGATTGAGCACTGCGTTGCCGAGTAGAACGTCCAGATCCATTCCTCTCTCGCGAATCCAGCCGTGGATGCGCTTGCCATCTTTCAAGGAGGAGATCTCCGTGCAGGCAATGATAGCATTTACGAAAGTGTGCTTGTTCATCCGGAATCCTTCCAGCTGCATGCGTTTTAGCGAATCGAGTGCGATTTTTCCATGCTGGTTCTGTGCGTAGATCGTGATCAAGGCGTTCCACGACGTCGCATCCTTGTGAGAGATCTTGGCGAAGGCTTCTCGTGCATCAAGCAAGCTCCCACACTTTGCAAACATGTTGACGAGCGCGTTCCCCACGATCTTGTCAGAGGTGTCATAGCCAGACTCCACGGCTAGAGCGTGAATCTGTCGGCCCTCGCGCAGAAATGCCGGGGACGAGCACGCATTGAGCGCCGCCACCAGAGTTACGTTGTTTGGCTTCACGCTCTCTAGCTGCATGCGCCAAAGAAACACCATCGCCTCCGGTCCTTTTCCATTGCCTTGCTCCGCGAGAGCTGCAATGATCGACGACCAGGCGACTGCGTTTGGACAATCCATGCTCTCGAAAACTCTCCTCGATTCATCTGCGCTGCCACACCTCCCATACATGGTTATCAGCGCGTTTCCTACAAATGGGACGCTCTGGAAGCCACACTCTTGGATCAAGCCATGGACAAAACATCCAGCCTTGGGGACGCCGCAAGCCTCTAAAACCGCCACGAAAGTTATCTCATCTGGCTCGACACCATTGAGCAGCATCAAACGAAAACACTCAAGAGCAGATCTCGTTTCTTCGTGTTCTACGTAAGCGCTGATCATAGCAGACCATGCAAACTTGTTCTTGCAGCTCATCCGCTCAAAAATCTCTTGCGCTTCCGCAAGGCTGCCACACTTTGCATACATATGAACGAGGCTCGTTCCGGCAGTGACGTCTGTCTCATGGAGACCATCCTCCGCAAGACAAGAGTGAATGAGTCTGCCGCTCTTCAGGAAAATTTTGTCGCAGCAAGCCTTGAGGAGTGTAACAAATCCAATTTTTCCAATCTTGACACCCTCGAGCTGCATGACAAAGAGCATTTTTACTGCATCTGACTGATGCCCATTTTGGGCATATGCTGAAACAATGGTGTTCCAAGACACTGTGTCTCGGAAATACATTCTATCGAAGAAATCTTTGGCTTGGTCAATCTTGCCGCATTTTCCATACATGTTGGTAATCGCATTTGAGATTATCACATTCTTCTCCAGCCCACGATCCGCTATTCTTTTGTGTACCACAATGCCCTCTGCAAGAGCGCCGTGTGTGGAGCAAAGATTGAGCGCTGTCAAGAGGGCGGTTTGATCCGGGAGAATTCCCTGCTCCTCCATGTCGTCCAGCAGGCCAACAGCTCCTCCGATCGATCCACATGAGCCGTGAGCCGTGATGAGCGCGCTCCACGAGAGAGAGCTCCTCTTACTCGCGTCAAGGCTTTGGAACACAGCCTTGGCATCCTCCAAATGCCCGCACTTGCCATACATGTCGATGAGGTGATTCGCGAGACGCCCATCCCTTTCAAGAAGGCCCAGACGGGAGATGTGGGCGTGGAGCTTCCTACCACCATCGACCAATCGCAGGGATGCGCAGGTGTGGAGGAGATGGATGAGCTCTTCTGGCTCCCGGCGATCTGGCAAAGATTCTAGGCTTCTTTGCAGCAAATGCCGGAGCAAGGGCATACGAAAACAACGACAAAGAAAAGGAATGTAGAGAGTATCGATCCTCAATTGAGCGCTCTACAACCCTTTGTTTTTCTCATGGTTTTGATTAACAATGGGGTCTACCTTTAGAAGGAGAGATGCCGGAAAAATAAAATAATTGTTTGATCATCTGTCTTATTGAGAAACTATCCCAAGAAACATAGACAATTATTCAATGGGCGAGTTTAACTCTACATTTGAAATAATAACTCAAATGGCAGAAGAAGGAAAAGAAATGGCAATTTTTCTCGTCATTATCCTAGCAACGTTCCAGGTAACTCAAGGCACCTCCATCACAGGCGCCAACACAACCCCAGAATCCCCGGGAGGCCAGCGCTTCGACTCTGTCATGGGAGTAGATGGAGCCCTCTCCATCCTCGCCGACGCCATGGCCTTCGTCCAGCTTGGCTTCGAGTATATGAGCCCCGACACACCCAAGAAGGAGATTGACACCATCCACTTCACAGTGGACGGCATGCCTGGGGTGGCCTACGCCATTGGTGTGGAGATCCATCTCAGCGCACAGTTTGTTGCTACTTTCACTGGAGACTTGGTTTTTGAG